ATTAGTATAAAAGCCACAGAGCCACAGAGCTCTATCGACTATTATGCACCACGTGCATGTTATTCACAGGTCATTACAGGTGTTTAAAATAATTTTATGCGCAATGGATGTCATCCGCCGAACGGCTAACGATATATTATCACGGGATCATCTCTAAAACGAAAACGACTACAATATAATTACCCTTAGCCCACATCGACGGGCGTGGATATTACTATGGGACGTCACCTGTCCCTTGGTTTTTGTTCTGAAACTCGTAATTAATAATAAGGGAACGTTGCGCCCCCAACGTTTTAAACTGCTGATGAATGGATGTATTTTTGATAACGGCCGTATTTTACTGACCCGTTCGGCGTATTTATTTCAAAACGGACCGAATGAAAATGCCGATTGTTTAGCGATAATAATTAAATTCCAACGCGTTATAATGTGAAAACGACCAAGTGTAAAACCATTTTCAGAGACATTTTTCATTTCATTTAAATACCATTTAAATACGTATCTCATTATAATATAATTATACAATTGTGTTTTTGTTATCAATATGCAACGATGTAGCATAATATTATTATGTAGGTATACAGTATTATTAATTATCTCCTGGTGCGCAAAACCATCAACCACGATGGAACGACTCGGGAAAATCGTCTCACCGTATGGATTAAACAAACTTAGAGATATGAATTTATATAGATACACTAAAAAGTTTTTGATAATCATTTACTCAATTCAAGAATATTACGCTTTTTTGATTAAATTAGTTTTTATATATATAATTCAAAACAATATAAAGCCCAATAATATAGACAAATAAGTAAATATGAATAATAATATTATAGAACATTATTATGACATTGCGAAAATTGTACGTCGTCAGTATGATACATTCTTTACTGACAATATATTTTCATAAAGTCAGCGTTAAATTAAATGAATAAGATTGTAATATTTCAAAATTAACTCTAGTTTTATTTTTTATATAAAAACTCAAAAATACACGTCGAAAAACTAAATTATGATGCTTATTTTTTGGACATTTAAGAATATATTTATATCTGTTCACTAAAATTAGTTGATTTTCTTAAAAGCAATACTATATTACAGTTATTACTAATGAAATAATAACAATTAGTTTTAATTATAGAATTTTTAAAATAGTAAAATTAATGTGTACTATTGGCTTTTTGTTATTATTCATCAATAATATTCATTTTCCGCATTTATAATCAACTGTATACAGCAAATTAAGGAATTTTTTTGAATAAAGTACTTGAATTCACCGACAAATTTTTACATTTCATAATGAAAACTATATGTGATTTTGAATAACCCAACAACATAGGAAAACTTTAAGTTAGGTTAGGTTAGGCATCAGTGATGACTTTTTAAAAGTGCATTAATGCTGTGAGTCACACAATTGTGGATATGGTTTTATCCATAAAATTAATTGAGTCAATAATATTAAATATAGGTGTATTAAAATTACCTATTGTCTCGAATGTTGAATTTATATACAATATAAATAAATACTTGTGAATTACATTATTTCATAATATATTATTGTATTCTTGTCTTAAAATTCGATGTTAGTTATGAATTCGTTTAGGTGTTTGTCAAAAATTCAATTAAATATAAAATCCTTCTGCATCATAATATTATTATTATGACAATCCTGGATGTTCAATTCTACCATCCATTCAATGTCGGTTTGCTATTTATTTTTCGTTAAAGCTGGCTAACAAGAAATCTGGTTTTAAATTATTTAGACGACAGTAACTGACACGGAATTGTAGTACGCATCGTTAAAATTGTAAGTGTTAGCAACCGTAAATACATTGAACTTTCATAATGGCGTAGTACAAAAAATCCTAACCTACTTTATAGACTACAGATTTTTGGAATAGTAAATATTGATGGAAATCATTCTCCTGTTTTTCAATGCAAACTTCAAACACAATAGAATCATTTCTGAGATTACTATTTTCTAAAGAATAAATGCGAACCAATTAAACATAATAATATATTATTATCATGCTGACAGTAGCATCCATTGAAATAATATAATCACCATAATGTTTGTCCCTTTGGTTGATTATAAACGTATACTATATAGGATGTATTATGATTCGGAGGGCTAAATTAATAGCATTTTAGAAATTATAATATATTACTCGTACTTAATAAACTTATTAATAATCTGGTAGAAACGCAGAATATAGTGAATGATGTGTACTAAATAATAAATAATATAGTTAAATGAGAACAGTTTAATATTTGGTTTAGTGTATTATAAGATTACATTGATTGGTTTAATATCAAAGTTCATCAGTATTATATTTAAAAATTAAGAAACTCGATTGAATAACTGGCACATACAATTCTCTACTTGGATACCCAAATACTTTAACTGTTTTCAAATTAGAAACGAAGCCAAAGCTAATAAAAATATATACCTAGTAGGAATTGTTCAGCTAATTGAAAAAAAAGTTTTAAAAAACAATATAGTTCTGCATATTTTATTAAATTTAATATTTTTTTTAATATTGATATTGTTATTGAATCAATTTTTAATTCCTTCTTTATGATAATGAATATAATAATAATTTTTATAGGATTTTTATAAATTTTCAAAAATGTTTAAGGTAACTTTATACTATAATAGTGAGTCATTCATTTTTGTATCGAAAAACAAATTTGATAGTAATAGTTTTAATTTTTTTCAGTGACCTTTATGAAATAATTCTCAACATTGGCTTTGGTTGCAATTTGTTTTTAATACATACCTTGAGAAAGTAAATAATCTCAAGTGATTTGAGTATGCAAGCATATGTATGTGGTATGTATGCAAAAAAATTAAAAAAATTAAGATCCCCGCTTATCACGAGGTGTTAGTGAGTTTCAGAATTGGTTTCTGTTTGATAGTGTTCTATTTTTATTTTTATTTGAAAATTATAGTGCTATTATGTTTCCTTATCGAAGACGATTTATTTTTGAAGAATCGGGGCATTGAAATACCATTGGAGTATATTATATACTGTATACTTGTCAGTATTATGATTTATGGAGTTTTTCATATGCAACCTTTAAATTATTATGTGGAATTAAATCAATCTTTTTAATCGCTTGACATACGAGTAGAAAGAACACTATTTTTGCCATAAATTATTGCCATCATACGTTGCAAGCTTGACGATTTTTATTTTTCAATCATACTGTTTGATCAAAATATATATATAAATAGATCACATATCAACAGAGTTGGAACGTAACGTAACGAATGTAACACATAATTACGTTGCGATTGTTTCCATATAACGAAAATGTAGTAGACATTACTTTTGATGATTGATTCCTATAATATAATGCGTTACTGTATTAACACATTTTGATTATTTAAATAAAATTACAACAGTAATTGTCATATTAATATTATAAATAATTATAACGCAGGTATGGGGTAGGTATACAAATAAATATATTGTTATGTTTATAAATTATGTTACCAGCAATATAGAATATGGATAATCCAGTATTTTGCAAAATACCTAGGCATTATATAAAATGCCAACAGTCACTCAGAAATATACATAATACGAGCTTTGTCTAGGTAGTATGTATAATGCCCAACGTGGAGTAGGAAATATGATAAAAATAAACAAAATTGGGTATCGCCTATTACCAATGACTTTACTTATAGTTTATCGTAGATGCGCATACCATGTCTGTGTTTGCACGGATTGTTGCAAAAAAGATTGAAATTCTGTTATTCTGAAGCAGTTATACTCCAGAATATTCAGTTCACAGTATGTCAGAAAAAGCTACTACAAATTTACGAGGTTCCAGACATAGAAATGGCGTTACGAACAACTCGCAAAGGAACAGTCGACAGGAACTCCGAACTGTCCAAGGATTTTTAAAATGAGTTTGTAAGACCAAGTGTCAAAATACACAATGTATTAGCTTTAAAAATAATGTTTTGTGCACTTCAAAATGCCATTTTCCTTCAGAATGTTGTAATAATTAGCTAGTAGCTTAAGTAAAATATATAAATAATATTACTTAATATAACAATAATATAAATGATATAGCAATACCTATGTATAAAAGTATAATAATAGATAACAATTAAATTTTGTAATATGAGGAATAATATATAATAATTAAATAATAATTAGAATCTTAATATAATATTATAAATATGATAAATTGTTTTTACTTTGCCTAATAAAAGGTTGGTATTTTACATAACGCTAAGGTATTTTATAAAATGCCTAGGTTATAAATAAAATAATATTGAAAACATTGCCTAAAATGGGTCGGCTGTATACATAATGCCTAAGCATCTTTCAAAATACCTTGATTATACATATAGCCGGAAACATATTCGATTTTAACTCATCACATCACGGTTCAGTTTTAAATTGTCTGAACCATATGAATACTTTCACCATAAATAACAAGAAAATTTAATTAAATAATTTATATTTTTAATTAACTTTTCACGAAGTACACAGAACTACTCTATTTTTCCTACGAATAGTTGGCGTGGACTGGTATTATTATGTTTTTTTGCGAATTAACAAAACTACACCTTAAAAGTGAAAATTAATTTATAAATACTGTATGTTATTATGTTCACAATTGTTACGTAAGCAACTGTTTAATCTAAAATAAATAAAATACTTTTGAAAATGTTGTTGACGTATTTTTCAAATTACACCTAAATATAGTATTTCACCTCGCATTACTTATCGAATAACGATTGATTTAGAAAATTAAAGAAATACATGTAAATTGTTTTTTGTCCTCAATGTGAAGGTAAATTAGGTAGTTACTTTTCTGATTAAAAACTGAAGTAGGTAATGTCATTACAATTTTATTCGAGTAACGAGTAAACTAACCTTATTACTCTTTAAATGTAACTTAGCTATCACAGAAATTTAATCATATGAATAACGATAAAAAACTAGGTACCTATTAAATAAAATATAAGAACTCACTTGATATCCATGATCCATTAAACGGAGGCGCTTTGAATGTGTCCCCGGCAATTTGATCGACCGTAAATTTACTTCCGAGATTCCTAGGACCTTTGTATGGCGGTGATAGCAGGACGATAAAGAATACTATCAAACCCAAAACGGCTACAATGACCAGAAGCGCGATAAGAATACCGCGCCAATTCCTCTCATTAGGCGTGATTACGACCAATTCCTGAAAACAAAAATGTAATTAAAAACGTATTTATTCCTGTCCGGATGCGGTTTAGTCGTGTATCGTTTAAATATTTACCTCGCCCCCCAAATAGCCTAACAAATATCACATCATGTTTGTTACTGCAGGGTTTCTCCCCTCACGATTTCACAGCCTGCTTTTATATTTTCGCTCATATGCTCATTGTAACTATCATTACAGATTGTATATTATATTCAAACAAACGTTTAAAAAAAATATATCTACCTAATTTAGAGATTTTTTTCATTTTTTTTTAGCATATTTTCTAAATAATAATTAAACTCAATGTACCTACTTGTATTATATAGGTGGTATATGAACATGATAGAATGTATGTATTTACATTAAATACTAAAAATATGACAATGCAAACCATGGTGTTATCCGAACAAAATAATATGTTAATCAACTAAGTACACTTGAGTAGGCTACAAAACATTATACTTGACTCTAGATTAAATTAAAATAAGGTTTAATAGACATACAATTTTTTTATTTGAAGTATAGGTACAACAAACATGTTTCCTTATACTTTTATGTATAACTAGGTCAAATAACAAATGACTGAAAATAAACTACATAATATTTTAATATTTGGTTTTTATACGGACGATTGATAATATAATTCATACTAAACACAAATCGTTTTTGAAAAGTGAATGCATTATTATACAAAATTATACTACTATAATAATAATTATAGTGCTATGTTTTTAACACTTTTTTTATGAAAAATATAAATAAAAATAAATGTTATAAGTAGTGTAATGTTAAACTATTTCTTTTTTAAATATTTTGATTTCTTAGTATACAATATATGTCATTATGTCAACCACGACAATTTCATTACATTTTATACCGAACTTAAGAGAAAACCATGAACCATGAACATGTGTAGTTTATGGCTCTAAAAATGTGAAGTTATATTTAATTCACAAAGCTTTAATCATCGAAGTTCAATATAATTATAGAATTAACAATTAACGATAATGTAAAAATATATATTTTTAGTCACAGTATTTTAAATATGTGTAAGTAAAGTATAATATTCATGCAATTCTAAACAGGTTATCAGATTGCCAATTATTAATAATTTGATGAAAATAACGCGAGATGACGACAGTGACGTATATGCTGGTTATTGTTTTGATATAATATTTTTTTTAATGAACATTCTGCAAAAGTTTGAAAACCGTTTACTACGTGGGAATAGAAATTATTATGGCCATCGCAATAATTGCACCCAAATATCAGTGCAGTCACTATTCACCCTCATTAAAAATCTCAAATCTAAATACGCATTGCCCGGGTATCGATCAACATGAATTATTTATTACATTATTGTGGTGTATTTCATTGTTTAGTAATGTCGAAAAAAGTTTAGTTTTATTTCTATTACGTACTCATGTTCAGACATTTAGTAATATTTCGTTAAATTAGTTTTCTCGAGACGTATAAGTTCTACATGATCCTGTTTGTTGATGAACTTCTTAATTAAAGTGCGTGTTTTTATTGCTATACTCATGAGTACTAAAAACGAAAACTTTTTAAGGATAATAAACAACGTTTTACACAACTGCACGGTGCTGTAAACATTATTATATTTCTAGCATATCACAACAATTTATTTACACAATAGTACATATTTTGTAAATAACAATAAAGTCATTATAAATATTATAAAAAACGAATTCAACAAGATATTTTAAAATTTGACGAATGCAAATGCAATTATGTTTGTCATATTATAATAAACCACCTATATATTTCTAAAAAGTCATGGCTAGAAATACCCACCCTTATGCGATTCGATCGGCATAGAGCTGACCGTCAAACATATAATAACGGAATGTCTAATGTACGTAGACTCGAGAATAAAACACCATATTATACCAATGCAGTTAAATAAAGCCCTACAACCCGATCTTCAACCAAACATCAACATTATCAGCTTCCTAAAGGAAATCAATTTATATAGCATATTTTAAGACTAAATCAAATGCATGTCAAGAACTAATGGCCCAGTAGCCGATGTTTTTTGTTTAATAAAAAAAATAATAAAAAAATTCTATTTACTAACATGTATACAATAAACATATTACATTTGATTAAGTTTACATTGTAATATATTAAAAACTAAGGATAACCATCACACGACTATGATACTGCATGTTTTTTGAAATCTTAATATTTTTAACTTCGAATACCATAATAAAATCAAGGCATACCAATTTTTTTGCTAATAAATCAGAGTATAGAACTATTAATACACGAAAAAAAATTTTGAAAACGCTTTAAATACATTTTGAGTTTTTAAATATTTGGTAAAAAATAGATTTGTATTATATTTCATATTGCTTAGTTATGTCATAATAGGTACAAGAAACCCGGGTTACAGGTTTATACCATGTATTTTAAAATTTAAAAATGAATGAATGATTTTATTCATTTTGTTTCAAATTTTAATATGTTCCCCAAAATTTACTATCAATCTAAATAGTAGCTTACCAGTGAATCGAGCTTAACGAAAATTACATTCAGAACTTCTAATATTTACTTAAATCTATAGATATATTTTAGTATGTATCATATGAAATAACTTGCATAAAATATAGTTTATAAATTCCCACTCAATATTCAGTCATTTTTAATATGGGTTCATAGGTTCAATTAACTATTGGAAATACTCGAATGAAACTTCTCTTTTTGTAGCACTGATTAGTGATATTAATTCTTCAAGATGCCCATACTGAATTCATGAATCCTTTTAAATTTATTTTTTACATATTATTGTAAATCGTCAAGACGTGGTAATGTTTTTTTTGATTAACATGCATTACCTAATTAAATTATGTACAATACGTGAGTTATTTTATTCGCTGATTTTTTTATTATTAATACATATAGTATTAGGTACTATTTAAAAAAACTATTTTGTTCCATATTTTCTAGAAACACTAACGCCTTGTATGTGTTTATCACAAACCCCAATTCCATTACTGATAATGGTTATCGAATGTCGACAACTTATACATTTTACTTTATTATCCAGTTGTATTCGACGGTATAACATTATAATAAAATAATATCTATGACGTTCCGGGTCTATGTGCAAAAGATAGAAAGTTGCGATGAGTTTAATATATATAATATATTATCCAACACGTTATTGAAATAGTGATAACAAAATAATATAAACGTTCCGCAAAAACGGAAAAAAAATCGAATACACATAATAATGTGATAGGGACATTAATATAATATAATATTATACATTATCGAATTGTGGCTTCAATTCTCCGGTCCAGTGGCGTTTCTACAATAATGTGTGTGTGTGTGTTAGTGTGTGCCTATTTGTGCCTGTCTGTGTTTCTGAGTGTGTATGCGTTCATATTTCGATTTGGTCTATCGTCTCGTGCTTTGGCAGCGGTGGTTAATACACGTTTGAATGCGATTTTATACCGGTGCTCCATAATAAAGGGTTTTCTCAAAACGTTATCTTCGGGTTTTCAACCTTATAAATCCAATGCACTTGCCTCGATAATCACACATCCGCGATCCCGCCGGTCGTTATTCACTACCACTGTCAGTGGGTTATTGCTGCAGCTTTTCGCCGATATTCCACATACACATGATATAATAATATGTATATTACCTAGCGTGTATTATATTATTACATTAATATGCATACAGCCCAACACAGGATGATTCTGTTCTACTGTTATAATACTATAATAGGAACAATGAAATATCCCAAGAGAACATGATGCAGATATGATACAAGACATTTTTAAATGTTCAGAACTTAGAGCGTATACAACTATACAAGTATATGATCTAAGGTTAAGTACATAATAATTATACTGACAACAGTAGAACAGTGTACTACAACGGAGTGTAAAAATATAATAATATTGTACATATAATATTATATAATTAATTATAATACATTGAGCGTAGATCAGAATTATCGATCCACTGTTGTTGTGCATCTTACGCGAAAAACAGGTCCACGGGTTCTGCATCCAATATGAATTCAGATCGATCTAGTGAAGATTTAAACTTTTCACAAAGCCTTTATGTATGTCTTGGTACATGTGTGTCTTTACGATTTCAATTTTTCCCCAAAGGTTGAACAAAAGTTGAATACCACTGAAATAATTGTATAAGTTCCTATTCACTTTGGTGTGATTTATAAACCGAAAATCTTTGAGAGTCAAAGTTGGCGGCTTCTCGACGAGTTCTCTTCTGCTTGTCGTAGAATCTTTGTTGCTTCATAACATCAACATTGATCTGACTAAGCAACTATTACTCGTGCAGACAGTACCACGGAGACAGAAAACCCCTCGGACTGGGGTGGGTGGGTGGGGGGGGGGAATACCATTCGAGCCCCCCACTTTTTTGGACTGTCTATCATTGATAACATGAAAATCGAGTGATCCCAATTTCCGGGGATCCGGGAAAATTTCCTTCTCCTCGCCGGACTTGCATCCAGTGATATCGACGGAGATTGAAAATTATCGCTTCCGTTTATGACGTTAAACTTTTAAATTAATCAATTAAAAACGCCTTTCCTTTCCTGGTCTTGGAAACCGATGGGTGAACGATAAACTAATCTTCCTGTATTACGTACAATAATGTATACTCACCAGTACAATACATTAAGAAGCTGCATGTATAAAAAGTGATTATTATATGATATTATGAAATATATATATATATGCATATGGACCGTGCACTTCGGTGTTGTCCCACAGTTGCATCAGCCATTGTTTTAGGGTGCTCGTTTTCAGGGGTTCGGATATGAGAGTGTAGTACCCATCCCTTTACTTTCTTCCGACACTCAAATCGTGTAACATTTGAGGTGAATAAAATATAATCTGTCGTCGTTTTGCTGCCTTGTAGTTACGAGTGGTTCGGATGTGAACGCGAGTGTGCAACGAACCCTTTCGAGTCCCCTTACCCATAACAAAAAAAAA